GTCCCAGGGACGATGCGCGGGGTCCATGGCTGCTTTTCTTTTTTAATTTGTGAAAAGTACTTTCCTGTTTTATTTCCTTTTTAATTATTTTTTTACTTTTCAATTACAGTTGACAGTCCATGTTATTTTGTATTGGTTTCAGGTGTGCAGCATGGTGGTCAGACAAATAGTTTACAGGGTGACCCCTGGTATCTCCAGTACCGCCCGACACCACGCGAGGCTATCGCTCCCCCGATCTGCCCTGGGCACCCCAGGCGATGCTGTGACCACCCAGCTCTCAGGCCCTTGGCCTTTCCCACCCGGCCCCACCTCCTCTCTGGCGACCTTCAGCCTGATCTCGTGTCTGAGTCCGTTTCTGTTTTTTGTGTTTCGTTTATTTTGCTCTTTAGATTCCACGGACCACACGCAGGATTTGTCTCTCTGACTCCCTTATTTCACTCAGTATAATGCCCCCCAGGTCCACCCACACTGTCGCAAGGGGTAAGAGTCCATTCTTCTTTCTCGCTGAGCTGTGGTCCGTCTGCACAGGCGCCATGCCTGCGATTGGGGGGGCCTGTCATTCACGGGGGCGCAGCCCTGACGTCAGAGCTGGAGGCAGGAATCAGGCTGAACGGCCGCGGCTGTGAGAGAACCTGGACGACCACCGAGCAGGGCAGCAGCCCCTCGGCTCCTCCCTGGCCCTGGCACAGCCCCTCTAACGCAACCACTCGGAGCTGGGGGGACTGTGCCCGCTCGTCCTGCTGAGCCTGGCGTTGGCCTGTGGGCTCCTGCGGCTCAGCTAGTCTCTCATGCAGACGGAGAGCCTGGGTTTTCAGAGCACTCGTGAGACCCCCGTCCTGACGCCCCAGCCCCACCCAGAAAGGCCTTCGAGGTGGTGACACCCCGAGAAACAGCGACATTCAGGGGAGCACAGGCTCTGCCCCCCGCCGCCGTGGCTCCCTGCCCGGAGCTGGCAGGAGAAAGCCGGCTGTGGCCCGAGCAGCACTCAGAGGCCGAGCTTTAGGTGCTGGAGCCAGGTGGCCGCCTCTGGCCATCAGCCTCGGTGGTCACACTTGACTAGAAAGTAAAATTAAAGAAGAAAAGTAGCATTTACAACAATAACAAGTCTAAGGAAATGTGCAAAGCCTTTGTTAGAGACGACAGAATGTTATGACGCCTATAAAGTCACAGATAAACACAGAAACATTTCAGGTTTGTGAGCGTGAGGGTTAAAGGTCATTAACATGAACCCGACGGCCAGGCTGGCGCGGCTCGAGGGCCACAGCATCAACCCGACCCCAGAGGCAGCCAGTGCAGGTGCCTCTCACGGTGATGTTTCTCTCTCTCCTCTCCTTCCGCTCTCTAAAAACCAATGGAAAAGTATCCTCGGGTGAGAGTTAACAAAACAAAAAAATCAACTCGAGTTGACATGAGACCAGTGACCTCAGTTGCTCCCCAGCACAGTCTGCACGTGGCCGAGGAGTCAGAGCCAATGACAGCAGTGGGACCTCTGCTCAGAAAAACGTGTGGAACTAGACCGTCACCTAGAGTAGCTCCAGATGCCGAGGGAGCGTGTGGATCCTGTGAGGAAAGCTTAGATGGCCCAGGGACGTAGGTAACAGAGAAATTTATTTTGGATCAACGTGAAAAAATAATTTGAATGTAGTTACAAACCTGACTCAGAAGAAAATAGAATGCGCCTCGGAGGGATGAGCTCCCCATCACTGGAGGCAATCAAGCAGAGGCCAAAGGACCTGTTGGGGAGATGCTTGCCACACCCTTTCATACCCTCAAAGGCCACTGCACCACATGGGAAGCTCTGTCCGCTGGGCTTGGGCTCGAGCAGGTCCTGGCACTCGAGGGTTAGTGTGACTGAGCCAAGCCAGCCTTCGGGTGAGGAGAGCGCCTGTCACCCCAGGTACAGTGACCCTCCCCCGATCTCCGTGTGAGCCTGGCTGAGCCTGGCACTGGCCTCTCCTGTAGCTGCTACTCTTCCGAGGGTTCGGAGTCTTTCCTAGGAAGTTAGCAAGGAAGTTGGCTCTCCAGGCCAGCAGCTGCAGAGGCCGGCACCAGGCCGCCGGCGGGCTCCAGGCCCCTCAGGCTCGGTGCCGAGCGTCCCGGGGTGGCCTCAATGTCCATTCCTGCCTCCTGACCTGAGCTGACATGCGCTGTGCTCAGGGGAGTTTAACCAGCCCCCGGCAAGTTCCGAGCCCTGCTGGCCCCCACTGTCCCCGACCCCACCCTGTGATTCTCTGAGGGCCCCTCACTCCACGTGGCTGTGTGACAGCTGTGTCCACAGAGCCCCAGCCCCTCTGGTTGCCCTGTGCCCTGCGGAGCCAATGCAGCTGAGACCTGGCCGGCCGCTGGCCCAAAACAGCCCATGGGGTCTGAACAATGGGCTTTTGTGACAGGACCTGGCAGAGAGGGGCCCTGGCAGAGAGGGGCCCTGGCAGAGAGAGGGGCCCTGGCAGAGAGGGGCCCTGGCAGAGAGAGGGGCCCTGGCAGAGGGGGCCCTGGCTTCCCACATCCAATGACGTCAGGCCCAGTACTGGCCGACCCTGAGATGCTCCAGCTGCTCCAGAGACTGTGCGGTGGGCAGCCGGGCAGGGCAAGTGGTTAGCATGTGGGAGAGAATGACCTGTGGTTCTCCATGGGCCGGCAGTCCCGGCAGCTGTGTCCCAGGGAGGCCAGCATGTGCATGTGTCTTCCCTGGACACCTCACCCAAGGGCGGGTCAGCTAACGGGAGCCTGGGGCCTTTGTCCCAGCAGCAAGACTGGGGTCCCACCCTGTGTCCTCGGTGCCGGGAAGTCACCAGGGCAGCTCAGCCCGTGCAGGAGAGCACGGCTCCCCAGGTGGCCCCGGGACACTCAGCGCACTCCCTGGTCACAGGTGGGAAACAGTGACCAAGAAAAGGCGAGCTTGCCCCTGGCCTCCCTCGACCCCACCCCACTCAGTGTCTTGTACACCATGGGGCCTGAGTCCCAGGTACGAGCAAACTGACCGGGGTGTCAGACAACGACCCCTCCTCCTCCCAAGCCAGGGACCGGACACCCGCTCCTGGTTCACGGACACTTCGGGTCAGTGTCTCGCTGAGCAAAGGGGACACTTGGTGATAACGGCAGGAAGTCAGATTTCCACAGGGACACTGGGCGAATCGGGAGGGAGCACCTTTCAGTTCATGAGACTCACCGACTGTCGCCCACAGAACGTGTCACGTGAAAGGCTGAGGTTGGGGCACACGCCCGGGTTGCAGGCTCCTCCATGCCCAGCAGGAGGCGTGCAGGAGGCGGCCGAACAGTGACTCTCATTATTGATGTTTCTCTCTCCCCCTCTTCCTTCCTCTCTCTGAAATCAATAAAAACATATTTAAAACAAACAAAAAAAACAGAGGAGGCCCGTGAACGTTAATAAGTGGCTGGTCGTCAGCCCACTAACAGACAAACGCTGTGTGGTCAGCAGCCTCCACCGAGAAACCTGGTTGGTCAGCCTCAGACCACAGGCGCAGTCGAGTGCGTCTGAGCCGCAGGACCCCAGCTCTGAGGCCGGGGGGACAGCCACAGCCCAGCTCAGAGGTGCCCGAGACACAGCAGCGCAGCCTCCGTTCCTCTCCTGCATCTGCTCTGAATCTGTTCTGGGAAGTGGTGGCCATTCTCAGTTACTTGCCGGTGCAGGGGTTTCTGAAGCTCCCACACGGGATTTCCGGCCCGTCCTCTGACTCACTCCACAGCAGCCCCGTCTGCGGTCTGTTCTGCAAGTGAGGACGACGGGGATGAGAAAGCCCTTCTGTGTGCTGGGGAGGGTGCAGCTGATTTAAAAAGCATGTGACACGAAGCCTAGAAGCCAGGACGTTCAGGGCTTTGGAAGGAGGGTTGCAGCCATTAAATACATTCGATTTTGGGAAAGCCCATGGAAATAACATCTTGCAGGTACCTGAATCTGTGCTCAATGCTGGAAAAGGAAGGAGTGTATAACAAGATCAAGAGATCCCCACAGGAAAGCCACCGATTCACCTGCGTGGTCGCTGCAAACCGGGCATAGATATTCCCTCCCCCGGGGCTTTTCCTGGAAAACAGGGCTTCCCGGCAGAGTCGCCTGGACCAGCCATCAGGCCGAGGTTCAGGACTATAATGGAAAAACCGTCCCCTTAGGCTCACTTTGTTAAGTCAGGGAAACGGTTAGGACGTGAGGTAAGGCCACTGTGGGAAGGAGGAGGGACGTGGGATCTTCCGGGCTGGGCTTCCTTCCTCGGAGACACGGCCCCTGAACAAAGAGGCCCAGATGCTGCAGCAGCAGATAAGACCCAGTTATTTTCAACAAACAAAACTGGAGCTTCTGGGATCTCAGCGCGTCCCCCCCGCCTGTGCCTCAGTGCTCCAGCCTTGAGGGCAAATGAGAAAAAACATCCACAATCGGAAGATGTCACATGTGGGGCCTAACACTCAACACCTGGGGAGTGAGGCCCTGGTCTGCTCAGGGCTGTGTCACTAAGATGCCAGAGAAACTCGGGCTGGTGACCACAGGATGGAGCCTCTTCAGAGAGGACGCCAATGAGACGGGGACAAGCGGGGACAGATGGGGCCTGTGGGACAGGCTGGCTGCCCAACCCCGGGCCGGTATCAGACCCCGACGCCCCAGACCTGCTCTCCACCTGCAGGCGGCCGGTGCCTTCGGACCACTTTCCCTCACTTGTAATTACCGGCTAAGCCTGAAACCTACTCAGCCTCTGGCCGCTTTGGGGCCTGCAAACCCTGTCCCCGCTCACCCATCTCTAAGGCCTTAGGGGCTCCTGGTTACAGGTGGGTCGTGAAGTGGTCAAACCTGAAAAAAATGTTACATAAAACTCAGTCTGCGAAAATCAGATGACTTCCTGAAACTCTGTCAGAAAATACATTTTCTCCTAAATATCAAATACCTGGAAAAGCACTTCAAGTCTCCTAGGCGTTGCCTCCTCTCTGTATCAGGCTGTGACCTCACGGGGTGCAGCCCCGATGACGGGTTTACGGAAGGAAGGACACCACTCTCCACTGGAAAACGTGGCCCGTTTATTCCAACTCAAAGGCATTGTTACATAGTGCAAACGTTTCTTTGGTAACGTATTGGTTACAATGAACAGAGAAAAGGCATCTGGCTGGTGGGAACAGTTAGGAAAGTAAATAAACACGTACACTCCGCTTCCTATCACAGCAACCCCCTTCTGGTGCAGCTACAGCGCGTCCGCACAGCCCACAGCTCCTGCACTGCCCACGGCTCCCACGCCCACGTGAGATTCCACCTCGATCCCGAGGACACGTCACCTGCAGCTGCAGACGTCCCTGCGAGTCGGCCTCCCCTCCAGCGTGCAGCTCTCCCCAGCCTCCCGATCTACGTGCACGTCACCTCTGCCACGAAACCACAGGACACGAACACACGCGCGGAACTGGGTCCGCTGCTGAGCAACTTACAGAACCATCCAACTTCTAAACCAAACTCTCCATCTTCTAGTTTACGGACACTGGGTCCGAGATCCGGTCAATCAATCTGACTTGATGTTTCAATAGCAGTCTCACGTCTGGTGCGGCAACAGCCAGCTTCTACCTGTCACTCAGCGACGTGGGGCTGAGGAGTCGGCCTCACGTTTAAATCCCCTGTGACTGTGCTTACGGTGGGGAGGTCAATGCCACCCCCAGAGACGTGGCAGCTTGGTGCCCACACTGGACTGAAGCCAGGCTCTTAAACTGCCCACTGCCTGCCGGACACTGAGACTCGCCTCCCACCCCGCACAGGGACCCCCCCGTGAGCTCGCCCTGCCGTGCGCTGCAAGCCCCCCTGGGACGGCCAGGTGGGTCCCTCGTCTGGGTCCCGCTCAGCGCCCGGCACACAGTGGGCACTCAGGGACACAAGTCTCAGAGCACAGATCACTCTGTTCTTAGAACAAAATAGGGGGTTTTGGTCAATTGAAGAGAGAGCGACCATGAGGTATGAAAGTTGCTTTTCACGGATTTCTGAAAGACCCTTTTGCACAGTGGACGTGATTTCTCTGCCGTATCTAATGCTGAAAACGTGGGCAAACTTTCATAAAGCGTCATGCACTTGAAAACACATGAGGTATGGGGTGTTGTTTCTCTAAGGCACACAACCTGGAATTAGGAAGTTCCCACATCCCACGCCACCGTCGGAAAGAGAACCCAGAGCACCGATTCCCCCGTGTGCTCGGCCAGGAGCAGCCCCACGGTGCACGAGCAGTGTCGCCACCACGGAGGGGGGTTTCACAGCTGGTCCACAACCAAGCAGCAGGTTACAGTGACGACAGGCCCGTTTCTAAAAGGAGCCCGACAACCTATCACACGGGGAAGGAGAAGCTGCGGGAGTGCGTGCGCCTGAGCCACAGATCTGGTGTGAGGAGCTGCTGGGGCGCGTGGACCGTGGCAGAGAGGGCCAGAGGGAAGGGATGGGGGTTACCGGGCCGACAGGAGCCTGTGGCACCCGGAGACGCTCACGAGAGACTGTTCCATTTGCCAAACACTGATATTCTTTTCAACGTGGCCTGACTCGTGGCCACTGGTCCGCAGGCTCCCGGTACCAGGACCAAGTGGGGTGGGTTTCAGTTGAGAGGAAACGTGGAATTGGGGGAAATCACTGTAGGAATCTAAATGACTTAAGTGTGCAATTTAATAGTAGCACCAACTTTTCATTAAAAAAATTAAATAAAAACCTGAGAATCTAATATGAAGTTAGGACTCGTGTCTGCTCCCGCCCACGTGTCTGCTGCGTGGTCTCTGGCTCCGTGAATCCTCCAGTCTGAGCCCCTGGGCTGTTTCTGAGACAGCCCTGGTGACGTGGCCGTGAGCCATCCGAGCCCTTGGTGTCCTCCAGACTGCAGTCCCCGCACCAGCTGGTGACCTCAGGGGACGCTCGGAGGGGCTCCAGGACCACGGAGGATCTAAGGCTGCTTTCCCGGGGTGTCTGTCAGGCAGAATGGACAACAGGCTCCGTCGATTCTCACAGGTGCTGGGCAATCGGTAGGCGGGCACGCTTCCACGAAGCAGGTGATCTGCCCATCCTGGAGGGAGAGGGAGCCAGGCTGGTCAGTTTCTGAACAACGCTGGGCATCACCCATCTCCCGCTCGTGTCCTGACCTCTTTGGTCCCGTCCTCTCTGCCCAGTGCTCTGCCCTGAGCTTCCCACCCAGGCCGGGCTGCAGGCAGAACCCAGCACGAGGACTCAGCAGCTCCCTGTCCATGTTCCCGGAGACCCAGAGCTGCCCGGCAGGACCAGCCCGCCTGCAGGTGCAAACACCCCAGGGCCGGGCAGGGGCAGGGGCAGGGGCAGGGGCAGGCTGATCAACCGTTGACAAAGCTGGGGGAAGAGCCCAGGCCTCCCAGGGAAGGTGGAGGAGGCCCCACGGGTGAGCCAGGCCCCGCTGACCAAGGGGCTGCCTGCCGGGGGCTGAGCCCGTGTCCCAGGTCCCGGGTTCAGAGCCCTACTCACACGGCATTCACAGAGGGTGCACGTGTCTCGCTTCCACCGGGTGCCGTCCGCGTGGGGCTCGCCATCCGCGTCGGTGCACTCAGCCGTGCTGAGCCGCGACTCCAGTTTCTTTATCTGCAAAGCCAACATGGGCACGGTCGGTCCGGGGGATGTGGCCCTGGCGTCACCCTGCCCTCCGCAGGAAACGGCGCCTTGGACAGGATGGGGAGGGACTCGGAAAACCATCTCTGAAGGACGCTGTGGAAACTCAAACCTGCTCCCCCTGCAGCTAATGGCCTTGGTCCCAGAGCTCGGGGACGGCACTGCCCGCCCCGTCTCAGGTAAGAGACGCCCGCCCCTAAGTAAGGCGGCCGTTGCTAAGAAACGAAGGAAAACCCCGGACCAAACGGAGGAGGTGTTCTCACGGGACTGTGAGCGAGAACCACTCAGAGGACAGAACATTCTGCCCCTGGCCGTCCGCAGGCATGACAGGTTTGACCAGACATCCGTCCCGAGAGCGGGAATTCCTAAGGAACTCAGTGTGGCCCAGCCCAAGACAAGCCAGAGGTGCGAGCAGACAAAGTGACACCCCTGGGTGCCAGGCAGGGGCATCGACAGAACTCACACCTTTGCGGCCACACAGAAATGAATGTGTCCACACGTGTGGGAACAATGTGCTAAGAAAGGGGGGACTCGGGGAGGCCAGCACCTGTGTCCTGAGGTCTGTGATGGTCTTCTGCATCTCCAGAACGAAGTCCCTGAAGTCGCTCGTCCCTGGGACCTGTGGGTGCTCGTAGGAGGCGGACGTGGCGTTCCTGGGGCGCTGGCCGTGTTTCCCGGCACTGCAGGAGGGAGACGGGGAAGCAGACACGACCTCAGCGCGTGACAGCTGGACTCATCACATGTGCTCACACTGTGGGCCACCGGGCACCTGCACCGTGCGGGGCTGAGGCCAAGCAGGAGGCCATGAGGACACCCCTGCCTGGGGCCCAGGCCCAGCCCCGTGGCATGGACAGTGTGGCCCTCGGGATGGTCGTACCTCGGGGTCTGCCAAGGCCCTGCTTGCGTGGTGGGCTGGTCCTCCTGGTAGCTGAATTCAAGGGACCGCCGGCCTCGGAAATGATACGAGAAGGCGTTGAACTGCCCCCTGGTCCTGCAGTCTGAGGAGAGAGCGAAGGGAGACGTTACCTGTCACGTCAGGAGAAACTCGGGTGGATCCGGCAAATGGTAAGTCTCTTGTGCTCGCCTGTGATGAACCTTGACGCCCCGTGGCTGGCGGTGGCCAGGGCCACCCGGTGTGTTACAGAGCATCAGGCCCCCGTGCGGGGCCGCGTCTGGTATAAAGGGGACCAGGGGGAGGGAGACTCCACAGAAAGGGTCACCTGCAGGACAGACCAGGACCCTGCCACGAGCAGAGGTGACAAATGGGGTGGGAAGGGAGCCCGCGACCTTGGACGCTAAGGACAGGGCTCTATCCACCCAGAATCGCCCGATTTTGATCCTAAACAACTTAAGTATCGAGTAGTAACCGGTGTCTGCAGCTTCCTCAACTATTTAGAAAGAAGTGTAATATTTACATAAACGCAAACACACAAACACATGTGTACACACATTGTTACACTGCACGTACACATGTGTACACACCACACATGTGTGCAACACATTGTACACACCACACACATGTGTGCAACACATCGTACACACAACNCAGCTTCCTCAACTATTTAGAAAGAAGTGTAATATTTACATAAACGCAAACACACAAACACATGTGTACACACATTGTTACACTGCACGTACACATGTGTACACACCACACATGTGTGCAACACATTGTACACACCACACACATGTGTGCAACGCATCGTACACACAACCACGTGTGCACACACGTGCACACATACACGTGTACACACACACACACACGTTGTGTTCACCACGAGAATNCCACGTGTGCACACACGTGCACACATACACGTGTACACACACACACACACACGTTGTGTTCACCACGAGAATAGCGACAGGAGCGTGAGGTGAACTGATGATGAACCGGGAGGGCAGGCACTCAGCAGGGTCCGTCCTCACTGAATGTAACATCCTGTCACTGAAGGTTCCCCACCGGGCCCTGGCCAGTGTGGCTCAGCGGACAGGGCGTCGGCCCATGAACGACGGGTCTCAGGTTCGACTCCTGGCCCCGGTCGGGGTGCATGTGGGAGGCAACCGATCAATGTCTCTCTCACGTTCTTGTCTCCCCCCTTCCATTCTCTCTAAAAATCAATGGGAAAAATATCCTTGGGCGAAGATTTAAAAAAAAAAAAGAAAACCCTCCACCAGGACTTATTTTAGGTCGTGTGGGTTCCTCAGCCTGGACACACCCCATCCAACCGGGCCGACAGCTTTCCCCGCTCCGTGGAAACTGCCACGTCCGCCAGCTGGCGCGCGGGTCTCACCGGCCGTGAGCGAGGCACGCAGACCACCCAAGGACACGGGCCTGGGGGACAGTTACCTTCACAGCAGTCCTGCCACACCCGCAGGTCCACCCTGGGGATGTCCTCACAGCTGCTGTAGCCGTGGGGGAACTCCGCCACGCGGAACACGTCCCTCTGCACACGCGTGATGTTGTCGGAATTGTCACACAGGATCCTGGCCAGGGACGTCTGCTTGATCTGGGTCAGCTGGGCCGGGGAGAACACCCCGGGGTTCTCATACCACAACCTGTGTCCCGGGACGAGAGCGGGATCAGAGGGCGCGGAATTCAACCGCCCTCTACGCGACGCTCGGTTCCCAGCAGCGCAGACCTCACCGCTGTCAGCCGGGGTCACTGAACAGTGGGCGAAACACGCTCACACGTCCCACTCGAACCAAAGCAAAACCTCCGAGTGAAAACGCAGAGGTCGCCCTGGCCAGCACGGCTCAGTGGTTAGTGCCGGCCCGAGCACCAAAGGGTCAAGGGTTCGATTCCCAGTCAAGGGCACGTACCCGGGTTGTGGGCTCTCTCCCCGCACCCACTCGGGGACGTGGGGGAGGCAATCAGTGGGTGCGTCTCTCGCATGGATGCCCCGCCCCCTCCCTCCCTCCCTTCTAGTCGCTGGGGGGGGAGGGTAACAACGGGAAAAAATATCCTCAGGTGAAGATTAACGAAAAAATAAAATAAAATACTAAAAAAAATGCTGAAGCCAGCGCCTGTCGAAGCAGCACAGGCCCCCTCGGGCACCGTGTGGCTCGTAGCCCCAGCTGGACGGCTGAGTGAAAGGCAGCAACCGCCAACCACCTGCTGTAACTAACTGACCGCAGCACACAGGCCGGAACCTCCCGATCCTGCCCCAAGGGCCGGCTGCCATGCGTGCCCAGCGTGGTTTCCCTGGACTGTCCACTTCTGGGGACAGAAATACCCGTAACAGCTGTGAGGGCGTGAACGCAGCTCGAGCCGGTCACAGCTAATCCCGGTGCCGCGGGGACGGGCGGCCGGCGGTCGGGAGTGGTCACAGAGAGCACGAGGCCTGACGCCGTTCCTTCATTCTGAGCTCTCGTGGGACACGGCCGCCACCACGGCCCTCCCTCCCCGCGTCCCCCAGAAGGACCCCGCCCCGGCCTCTGCGCTCACCTGTCCCCGTCTCGCAGGTGCTTGAACTGCGTGCTCAGCAGGCACATCAGGGTGGGCCCCAGGCGGCTGCCGGGCACCAGGTCCTCCACCATGAGGGCGGGGAACAGGTCGATGTTGAGGGGGGACCCGTACAACCTGAAAAACAAGGGAGACCTTAAACCGACTCGACAGAGCTTATCTGGGAAGGCACCCGGCAACTAGGAGCAAAACGCTTTTTTCCATTGTTACTTTACATCATTCAGACCTTCATTTAAAGAAAAGTTAACTTTGTTTCTTTAAGGCTCTTTGTTATGTTTTAAAGAACTGCTACTTTGTTTATATCCGGGGTGTGGCAAAAGCAGTTTACAGTGTTGCTGCGGGAAATAATACAATAATTAATCAGTAGCAGCACAAGAACCAACTGTTCTGCGTACTCACAACTGCAAAGCTGTATCTGCCCACCCTGTGCACGTGTGCAACACACACACGTACCTGGTATAAGTTTAGAAAAACCAAGGAAACGCAGGGAGAAAATTAAAACCACAACTCTTGTTACTATTCAGAGATAATCCCACTTGTACACCTTCCCTATCATTTTTCCATAAACATATATGAACAAGAAACTACATGAAGCTAAAGAAAAGTAACACCAGGATTCTACTATATATTGAAAATATATTTGCTATAAAGAAAACTTTTACTAAGCAGAGTATAAAAAACTAAGAGAGCAGGATTTTCATCAAATTCCTCAGAAACGCGTGCGCCCGAGGCAAGCGCTGACGCCCTACCACCCCTCAGTCTTCTCTGGCCCCTCCGAACATCAGGTGCTACGCAAAGCTCCAGGGGACTGAGACGCATCCTGTCCCGAGACCCGCCTCTGCCACGGTGCCCGGATTTGATGTGACAAATGACAAGGCCGCTGGGCTCGGCCCTCAGTGCCGTTCGCCCACAAGGACAGGGCAACGTGGCTGAAACCAGCAAACAAAACAGGAAACGCTTCCTCCGCACCAGCAGAGCCCCCGAAGGCGCCTCGTGGGCCCGAAGCCCCCCAGGTCCCCGCTCAGCCTCCGCGGCGCCTCTGACCTCTGGCCTCACGAACAGACGCCCAAACCTGCGGACAACAGCGGCACCCGTGCCGGGCTGTCTTCCTTTGCCCACCTGATGTTCACCAGCAGGACGTGAACCCCGGTTTATTCCCACTCACCGTTTGAGTTTCTCCCGGATCTCGGGGGTTTTGATCTCATTTTTGAGGTCCTCGAAGGTGTGGGCGGAGGACAGATTGCAGTAGACCCGGTAGTCGTGGTAGGGCGGGATGCCGTGGTCGCGGCCACGCTGGATGTTGATGGCCGCCAGGTCCAGTGCCACCGTGTGCGCCATGGAGAAGAGGCGCTCGGTGAGCTCCGTGTTCAGCAGCTGGGAGGGCACGCGCATCTTGCCGGCCACGCCGAACAGGCCCCGGAGCAGCGGGTCGATGCCGCCCTCGTTCACGATGCGGAACGGGGAGAAGAAGGCTTTGTGCAGCGGCACGTGGCCCTGCGCGATGGGCTCGAAGTTCTCGTCCAGCCGGTAGAGCACCGGGTTGATCAGCGTGTGCCCGAAGCGGAAGGCGGCCGTGGCAAAGGCGTTGAAGATGCCCGCGCTGACCCCGGGGTCGTAGCCGCGGTACTCGCCCAGCATCTTCATGCCCACCTCGCCCAGCACCTTGGGGAGCCAGTGCTGGTAGGTGATGTGCTGCATCTGCGCGCCCACGATCTTCCGGGCCTCGTGGTACAGGGTGTCCCCGTCCCAGTGCGGGTTCAGCGCCAGCAGCTCGGTGGCCACGCGGTTGTGCTCGCGGAACCACAGGGTGTGCATGCTGGTGAGGCCCAGCTGCTCGTTGGCGCGGTGGTCGCCGGCCAGGAAGCAGGGGATGGGGCTCTCGCTCTCGTCCCGCATGCACTCGGTGGGCGGCCCGGCGGCGAAGGGCAGCAGGGGCTTGCCCGAGCGCTGCACGATGCCCTGGCGCAGGAGCCCGCGCTGGCTCGCCAGGTCGCGCACGGCGCGGGCCTCGTGCTCCGAGCTCCCGTAGACGTTGGAGGCGTCGATGTAGGAGGTGAGCTGGTTGATCTGCTCCCGCGGGTACACGGAGTTCATGAGCAGGGAGGTCATGCCGCTTCCGCAGACGGGGCTGGAGCGCACGAAGAACATGCAGCGGGCGCCGTTCCTGACCCGCGGGTCGTTGGGGGGGATGGCGAGCGAGAAGCAGGGCGGGTCGCTGCTGCACACGGAGCTGCAGTGCTGCCCGTCGGAGAAGCGGGCCTGGCTCAGGGCCACCACCGTGGAGTCCAGGTCGTGGTCCAGGAACTGGCCCCACTGCATGAGCATGTGGGTGAACTGCCCGTCGGGCGTGACGGCCTCCGTGCCGATCAGCGTGGTGGACACCAGGCGGGGCATGGGGAGCAGGTGCCCGTGGTACAGCCGGCCGGGGGTCACGCCCCGCGGCGTGTTGAACCCGTTCTCGTAAACGGACTTCAGCAGGCGCTCGAAGGCGGTCAGCGAGGCGCCCCACATGGGGTGCTGCAGGTTGTTGCAGGTGCCGTCGTGGGTCCGGTACCTCTGGTGGAAGCACATGTCGGAGCAGTTGTTCACGCGCCGGTGGGCTGTGCAGCCCGACAGGTTGGCGATGAGGCTCAGGTACTGCGGGGACACCAGGTCGTTGTAGTGGTAGCCTGCGGGGAAGGGGGCGGGGCTCAGGCCCGGGCGTCGGGGGCCAGCCGGTGCCTCCCGGCCACGCCTGCGGGGCCGTCCCCCCGTCTCGCGGAGCCTCTCAGGCTACACCGCCCTGGGCGCTCCAGGAGGCAGAACAGCCCCGCCCACGGGCGCTCACAGGGGCACAGCGCTCGCCCGACACCCGCCCGCACCACCGGGTTCTTTCCTCAGCGCATCTGACTAAGCATCTCTCAGATCTAGGCCTAGACCGGCTCTGCACACCTCCGATGGACACAGAGACACCCCTTTTGTACGGGCGGGGTCCCAAATAACCCACGTGGATGGGGCAAAGAAACCCCACAGGCCAGGGGCCAACCGGAAGCAGGAGGGCTCTGCCGGGGGCGCGGCACCGGGTTCCCAGCCGCCCCGAGCTTCGCGCTCACCCGGACCCGACCTGAATGCCTGGGTGGGTGGGACGCGCTTCCCGGGGACCAGACAGTGAAGCTGCAAGATCTGCTCTGTTCCCAGTTACTCTCTGAAATCTCAAAATTCTCAGTCTTGAAAATGAAAGAAAACTGCTTCCGCTCCCGCGTCATCTGGGCCCGAGGAGCCCTCTCCCCACGCTGTCCCTCCCTACAGTGGTGGCCACGGGGTAGCTGCACAGTTCCTGGGGCCACCTTCCCAGGCCAGGCCCCAAGGCAGGGGCCAGGGGAGCCCAAGAGGAGGGCAGGCACCAGCCAGCACCCAGGGGTGCACACGGACACAGCAGCCTCTGTGAATCCGGAACCAGAGCGTTTTAAAACATCGCCGATAAAATGCTGCAAAACCAAACCTGCCGACAGACCCAGGTAACACGCCTGCAAGTGAGACGTCCACCAGGAATTCTGCCAACTGCCCGAGCATCCCAGCCACGTCACTCAGCCTAGTTCACTTCAGAAATAAAAACCACCTCAGAATAGACAACTAAGTGTGGGCAAAAATACTGAAATCGGAGAAAAAGTATGAATCTAAGAACCCGAAGTGCACAAAACGACCGTCTCACGATGGGAAAATGCCCGGAAGGTACTGCTATTGGGGGAAATCACTCTGTTCCACACAAGGCGTCGCTTCTGGGGCCACAGAATGAAGACACGGGCGGGCCTGCAGGTAAACGTCGCAGGTGTACGCCTGTGTGAGTGTCCTGACGTAGGGCAGTCCCTCCCCCACCTCATCCAGGCCGCGAGTGACCGTCACCTCTGCCTTCAGACCCAGACCCAGCCCTCTCGCCGGGCACCTGGTCCTCACACTGTTGGGGCCCTCCCGGCTCGTCCCGCCCAGCCCTGTGCCCGACAGCCGGCAGCGAGCGCCCGACAGAAACTGTGGGCGGAATGAAAGGGTCCTGGTGCTTCTCCCAGAGACCAGTGGGGATGCAGGGCCGTGGCCACCCCACCCCGCTCTGGATGGAGAGCCAGGAGGCGCCCGCACACTGCTCGTCACACCGGCACACGGAGCACAAACTGCTCCCAGACGCAGCGGGACCGAGGACCAGCCCTGGGCAGCGACCACGCTCCCGAGACGGGAGAAACGGCCCCGCAGTTCCCCTCCCCATCTCCCTCACCTCGCACACTGCACTTAGGGATAAAGTTCAGCTCCTGAATAATGTTTTTGTCCTGACGGGAAAGGACACTCGTCAAAGTCAAGGTAGAAAGCACTGGAAAGCTGGGAAGCAGACCTGAAGTCACCGCATTCCCGGCAGCACCCCAGCAGCGTGTGGGCCCACAGCTCTGAGTAACAGCCGCTGGTGAAAGTGACGCTACTATAGGGTAAACCCGCGTCGGCTCCACCTCTAACAGCACAGCCGGCGCTCCTGCTGGGGCAGGCGCCCGACACTGACGGGCAATGCCACACGGCGCCCGTCTCCCGTGCCATCCACAGGCACTGGGGACAGACGAGGCCAGAGCTCCACACAGGCCCTTTCCAACAGCCGCATGGACACAGCATCGCTCGCCCAGCTGTTGTCCTGCAACGTCTCCCCTCAAACCTCCTTTGTCCTGGGCACCTCTGGTCCTAGCCAGTGGGCAAGGGCCACCCAGCTCTCATCCCAGGGGGTCCCTGTTAGGCCGGAGGCGGGAACCACAGAACCACACTGTGATCCCCAACGNAACGTCTCCCCTCAAACCTCCTTTGTCCTGGGCACCTCTGGTCCTAGCCAGTGGGCAAGGGCCACCCAGCTCTCATCCCAGGGGGTCCCTGTTAGGCCGGAGGCGGGAACCACAGAACCACACTGATCCCCAACANACAGAACCACACTGTGATCCCCAACGTGTCCTTCACAGGCACGTGGGACAAGACTGCGGGAGCCTGTCCCCGGGAAGGCGCTCGCTGTGGGGTCCCGCCTGCTCCCGGGAAGACGCAGGGGGGAGGGGCCCGGGTACTGACTGGTTCCGTTGAGGTCGACCATGAGGCCGTGCTGCACATGCTCCTGGATCAGCTGCAGCGTCCGCTCGAATATCTCCCCGGCTCGGGCCTGCTCCACGGTGTAGGGGTCCCTTGGGTAGCGGAACAAGGCCAGCAGGTCGTTGGGGGAGCGAGGACGGCTACAGAGTCGGGGGCAGAGGGGAAAGGGGAAGAGTCACTGAGACGGGAGTCGCCCGCATGCAAAGGAAGAATTTCCACTTAATGATTCTGTAGCTGCCCCCGTCCGGGGGGAGCCGTGCCTTACTGATCCCAGGTGGGAGGCCACAAAACACACAAAACCAAGAGACACTAAAACAGTTAATTAGGCCCATGGAGAAAACAGCAACATCCTACTTCAGCTCAGATGCAGGGAAAACACTCCGGAATCTGCCAACATGAACACAGGCCTTAATGGCTTGTGAAATACGTTGTTTTTGCCAAATCATTTAGCAACAAGCCAAAGGAATGAGCTGCAGTTTTTAAGAAATGTTTCATTTGTGAATCATAGTTCAGTCTCCACTTGGAAAGGACATGCCTGTTATCTTAACCCCCGGCGCGCGGATGCCAGCCTTGTTGACGATTTCCAAATTAAACGTTTTCTCCCGATGAGGCAACTGACCGGTCCCACCGGGCACCAGAACGGCCCGAGTTCTTTACCCCCCAGAGCCCAGGCGACGGGTCAGCCTCCGTCCGCGCCCCCACCATACCTGTCAAACAAGTGCGTCCGCGTGGAGTTTATGGCCCTGTCGACAGTGGCGATCGCCTCCACGATGGACGTGGCTACAAACGGATCCCCGTTCCGGCTGACGTCAGGAACTAGGAGAACAGGAGGCCGCACGTTACCAGCAGAGCACTGGACGAGTCACTCGGCGTCTAGACGCTATGTCATCGGGACCCACGGCACACTTTCTCCAAGTGTCACTCCTGCTTCTCACACCCGGGCTTAAATCACTTTATCTCAGACCCTCCTAGAAGCTGTTTCCAAAGAGCGTGGAAATCACGGACTTTTCATTCCTGAAATCATGTGAAACCCCTAAGGGAACAGGGAAACGCTGGCTATCCTGTCAAACACTGACCGCCCGGGGCAGGCGGTCACTCAGACCAGCCGGGGCGGCCTGCTGGGCACAGGGTGGCCGATGAGATGCTTTAACCCCGGTGGGTTCTGTCTGTTCTCACTAAAGGCCGAGGCTTCCCGCAGACCTCACGCTGCTCAGCCCTTCCCAGTGAGCCCCTCCGCACGCCACCTGCTCCCGCCTGTGGCACTGCCACGGCGAGTCGTCACGCACCCACACGCACGGCCACACGTGGAGGGACCCGTGACCCTGAGGGACTGCTCCTGTCTAGTTTCCGGTTCTCTTTTCTTTTTCATTTAGTATTTTTCCAGGACTCAGAATTTATTAAATAAAGTAACCCCGTTCCGAGCCCAGCCGGTGTGGCTCAGTGGCTGAGGATTGTCAGGTGAACCAGGAGGCCGCAGGCGCGATTCCCGGTCGGGGCGCAGGCCGGGGCGGCGGCTCGATCCCCGGCGGGGGGCGTGCAGGAGGCGGCCGATCGATGTTTCTCTCGCTGATGT